AGTAAACATTTTTTACTAAATGTTAATAAATTCTACAGATAAAAAAATTTAAGGAGTTATTAAAAGGAAGGATTCAAGTATTCTTTTCAGTTCGTTTAGTGGATCTTTTTTAACAAACCATTAAAAATGCTCTAAAATTATCAGAATTATATGCTCTAAAATGCTCTAAAATTATAAAGAATAAAAGCTACAAAAATGACGGCTTGTTACATAAAGGCTAGAAGTCCTTTTTTCTAGTAAACTTCAACTCTTTAAAATTTTTTTTACTGTCAAGTTTTTCCTTATGTAGGAGAGTGGCTGAGTTGTAAGAATTGCTTTGGGAGTTTTAATTTACATATGTGAACATTGTTACTCTCATACGGTACATATGTTGTTGTAGTTGATGGCTGTCGAGTTGAGTACAGCTTATAGCGACTCTTTGAACAAAAGACTTGAAGTCATTCTATAACTATCGTCATTTGTCAAAGTTCATAGAGTTTCCAGAGGCATGTTGTTTAGGAAGTGGATGCCACTCCTGCTCCCAAATGGTGTATATAGGTCTGCCAAAACCCATATTTTAAAAGAGTACTATTTGAAATTTTATAGATGTTTTGTCCAGTTGGCTTCAGTGATTAAAGCTGATTATTTGGAAAAACAGTTATTGTAGTTAATTAAAATTTTTTTCCATACCTCATGAAGATTCCAGCTATTTTGATGGTGTGAAAAGAACTATACAGATGCTATTTCTTTTTCTTTTAAGGAAGTTATTGGGATGTGCTGTGTACTATCTTGTGTTAAGATTGTAAAAGATAAAATAATAATGACTCACTGGTAAATAGCTGACCAGCTAAAGATATTTATGGTGATTGATGTTTTAATTTAAGTGTTACAACCTTCCAGTTACACAGCTACTGTAAATATATTGTGATTGACAAAAATTACTCCTAGATTTTTAAAGAAGGCCTTAGAACTTAAAAATTTACTTGCTTTCTTGGAGGAAAAAAAGTTCACTGGCTTATTTTTGCTGTTGATGATAGTACCATTTTTAACTGGTTTGTGTTTTTTTTTCTGGAGCTTTATAGTTAGTAATGCCAAAGACAGATGAAAAATGTACTAGAGTGAGATTTTAAACCTATTTGTTACCATTAAAATCAGATTAAATTACTGGGTTTTTAAGAGGAGAGAGAGGAAAGTTAATAAATGCTTAAAATATACATGATAAAGCCAACAGATCCTTGGGATGGTTGGTTAGTATCATAAATATAGAAAATGTATACGTAACTTTTAAGAAACAGCTTTATACAGCAAAAAGTAGTGTTTCTGGGTTTGTTTTTTGGTTTTTTTTTTTATTTTTTTGGTTTGTGTTGTTTGTGGGGGTTTTTTGTAGTTCCTCTCAGAATACCCAAGAGATACTGGTTCTTTATCTGTAATAAACCCCCTCAAAATAAAGGCTATCGCTGTTGAGTTAGTATCAACTCATAGCAACTCTATATGCCAGACAATTGACCACACTGTGTAAATCTTTACAGAAGCAACTGCTAACTACATCTTTCTCCTGAGGAGTTGCTGGCTGGTGTTTTTGAAACACCCACCTTTCAGTTAGTAGCCAAGTGCTTTAACTACTGTGCCTGACATAAATAGGGCTCTTTATGTCTGTAATAAATCTGTTTCATTTTATTGTTAAAATGCCAGCCTGACTTTTTACCCCCAAGTATTCTGTTTATCATAATACAAAAAGTACCTTGAAATAAACATTTGACAAACTTAAACTTTTGTGGCACAACAAAAAAGTTTATCATTTTTTTCTTTGTCAATTGTATTTATTTTAACTCATTTTAATTCTGTGAGAATCGTAATAGTCAAACTACATTTTTCATGCAGGAACTACACACATTCACACACAACTAAAATCACCCTCTAAAAAGCACAGGAGTCTGAAGACAGAGAATTTAGTAAAGCTTTACTAAATGCACAGGGATGGCTTATGTGCCACATTGAAGCAGCTGAAAGAGGTTCAGTACAGTTCCTCCTGTAAGTGAATGTTAGCCACACTTTAAAAAAGGTCATTTATACTCCTTTTTGGTTAGTGGTGTTAATTAGATTTGTTTTCATTAAGTATTTGATTATAGAAAAGAAACTGAGTTACTTTTGTTGTAATCAGAACTTCTGTTACTGGCCAGATCACCTGTCCTATGTGTCCGATCTTTGCACATCTGTTCTTTGACCCATTTTCCTTACTGAATTTGTAGCTGCAGGCTTAGTTCTCTTTCCTTAGAGAAACAATTGACCTTTTTCTAAAAAGGGTTGGGAGGATAGCAGTGGTGGGGTCTGCATGTTCTTTGTTTTGGTTGACAGGATATAGTGAAAAGTATATTTTAGTCTTCAATTTAGAAAGGAATTTTAAGTGTATTAATTGTCATAATTAGCACAATTAAATAGCTGGATTCTACTCTGGGTAAATACAGGCAATGTTATTTTTTTTTTTTAATCAATGAGAAAAGTATATTTTAGCTAAGATGCCTAAATTATAAGACTTAATTTATTATGGATTAAGTATTTTGAGTGTTAATATATGTCTTTCAGCAAATAATTTTGATAACCACAAAGGACATTCAGAATGCAAAAACAGGAAACAAAAACTGCCATGTAAAACCAACTATAATGTGATTATTAGCTGCAGGTTTTCTACATTAACATCAGCTAGCACTCAGATTGCTTGCTTGTGAAGTAATATCATTATCTTGCCTGAAAGGATGTAAACTGATTCCACTGCTCTCTGTGGTCACTAATCTCTTACATTCTGT